GTTGCTTCACTGGCCCAAGTTGGCACCATCATTGCGCTCTTCCTGGATGAGGCAGATCAGTCGTCGGCTTCTGGACGGCCTCTCACTGCGGGCGCTGGCCGCTCACACTGGCTGCTGGCTACATACGGTAGCCCATGGCAACCCACTGCCACAAGGGCTGCAGCCTACGCCGTCGCCAACTCAAGGCAGCCCAGCTCCAGGTTGAGCTGTTGTTCAGCATCTTAGCTGTGGAGGGCAGTGTCACTGGTCCTCATATGTGGGATCCGAACCGGGGCCCTCTGGCATCCCAAGCCAGTTCTTAACCATCGCGCCACTCGGCCGGCCCACAAATTTTTTTTAATTTAAACATTCACCGTATTTTGTGATCACACCCCGTATGTGAAGCTCTGGGCAGGGCAGAAGACAGTGTTGCAGTCAAAGGAAACAGCAAATTTAAAATATAGTAATGAATTTGGCATGTCCGGGGGACAGAAAGGCTACAATGACCAAAGTACAAGTAACAAGGAGAATGGGAAGATGAGGTTAAAGAGGCAAGCAGGGGACAGAACTCAGAACACAATTCTAGAGGCCACAGTAATATTTGGATTTTATTCTACATGTAATGGGAAGCCACTGAAAAGGTCTTAGGCTATGTGTCAGATTATGATGATTTATTTTTAAAAGATCTTGATGACTGCTGTGTGGAGGAAGACAGTAGGGGTAAAAATGAGAGTAGTGACTTTTAGCCTGGGGACCAGAGACAGTCTCCAAGAGACCACACACCTCCTAAAATTGGAAATAAAATTGTGTGTATATGTTCATATGTGCATTTTTCCAGGGAGAAGATTCACAGCTTTCATCAAATTTACAAATTAACCCTTTAAGGGCTAAGAATCAATGACATACACTACTAGTTGGCCATCAGTTAACCATCCCAGAATGCTACAAAACAAATGCTGCACATGAGGTTAAGCCTGTGGCACCATAAGAATCCCTTTCAAATTCTCAAGGTCAAATTCCTTGCCTTAGGGGAGGCCATAGCTCTTCTCTCTGAGCACTGATGACACTGCCCTATTAACAGGGTCTTGGAAATCCATTTTATCTCCTCTACCACTATTTCCCACGCACTGTGGAGAAGTACCTTGATCCCACACTTATGACAGCCCCTCAAAAACTGCAGGTTCAAGGAATGCATGTAGATGTGCTATATTCCATTTCCAGCTCAGATGGAAAAGCACAGTACCCTTAATAGAGCCCAGAAGCTATTCTTCAGATGCTGCATTTCTAAAAAAAGAATAGAGCCACTATGGTTTTTCCATAGAACCCTGTGATATCATAATCCTCAGCATTGAAAGTCTTTGGGAAGCTCAAAAGAGGTAGAAGAGACTTTCCAAACCTTGGATATGTGCTCTTATTTACACACTAGGACCTCTTCCATTTAATCTTCCTCGCTTTAGGTTCCAACTTCTCTCCAGTGAGGTATGTTCAGTGAGTACTCAAATTTAAAAAGTGCAAGAGCCTTTTAAAAAATCACCTAGTCATACTCTCATTTTTCAGATAAGGACATCAAACATCAACAAGACTGCTGATGTGACCAGGGTCATATATAAGGACCTGGTAGCTGAGGTGGGATGCCTATTAATTCAATAAATAAATATTGAGCCTCTATAATGAGTCAAGTTCTGGGTATTTAATAATATTAATAATATATCTAGGGCCAGCCGAGTGGCGCGTTGCTTAAGAGTTGGCTTGGGACGCCAGTTCTGAGCAGCAGGGCACTGGTTTGGATCCCACATGCGGGCCAGTGATGCTGCGCCCTCTACAGTTAAGATGGCGAACAACAGCTTGACCTGGAGCTGCGCTGCCGAGAGTTGCCGGCAACGGCATAGGCTGCAGTAGGGCTGGTCAGCAAGCTGGCATGAGCTTTCATGAGCTGCCATGAGCTTTCATGAGCTGCCATGAGCCGCCGTGAGCATCTGTCCAATGGCTGGTGAGCGACTGCCTCACCGGGGAAGAGCACAATGATAACACCAACATGGGCCAATGAAGCAACGTCCTCCACAACTAGACTGAAGAACAAAAAGGACAGCAACTTGTCTGTTCCAATTCCCCAATAAAATCTTTAAAAAATAATAATAACATATCTATCCTCAGGAAGTTCATAGTCATACAGAGGCATACAGCACCAGCACATGGATTTTGGACCTGGGTTTAAATCATGGCTCTACCACTACCAGCTGAGTGACCTTGGACCTACCTACTTAACCTCTATGAACTACAATTTCCTTATCTGAAAAGGTTCATGATAGTGGCACACATGCTAAAAGGTTTAAGGGTAAAACGTACTATTGTCTGCAACTTACTTGGAAATACAAAAGTGGATTGGTGGATGGATAAATAAACATATATATGATAAAGCAACAGAGTCAAATGTTACTTGTAGAATTTAGGCACACAGGTATTCAATTACATCTTACAACTTTTTGTGTGTGTCTTAAAAAGTCAGGGAGGGACAATTATTAGGGTGGTGAAAACAAAACAATAGAGCTAAGCTGCTTAGTACAGTGCTTGGCCCATAGAAAGCACTAAACCAATGTTAGCTATTTGCAGTAACAGGTCCTCAGTAAGCGGAAGCTGCATAAAGAGAAATCTGAAAGCCCCCTTGACCATACCAATATTTCCTTTTTGGAAAGATGATGCTCAAAATGGAAGCCAGAGACCTTTCTTCGGTTCTTTCTATTAGCACAATTAGGCTAGGAACAGTCTTAATTAAGGTTTCTGTAGCTGATAAACCGCAAAGCCAAGAGGCATGGATCTGAGAGCACAGCAAGCTGAGAGTAGAGCACTAATTTGGGATCAGAAATACATGTGGGTACAAATCCTAGCGTTTCCATTACTAAATTGAGTGGCAAGTGGATAGCTGAAGTGCCCTCACCCACCCTCAATTTTTTTAACCTGCAAAAAATAATACAAAAAGCTTGAATAGTTTTGTGATTATAATGTAATGCTTTTGGACTTAGCATCACTGCCACTTAATAAAAGTAGACTGAATTGGAATGGTAAAAAAGATGCTGAGAGTATGAGTGAAGCAGACTGCTCCTCTCTGTAACTCCCACTTCCCTCCTTCAGGTCCCAGGCCCTGGGAATCAAAGTGAGCCTTTTCAGGTTGATCACCCCCCTATTTTAAAACCCCCCATAGCCTCCCACTGAGTTTACAAAAATCCAAATTCCTTCCTATGGCCTGCAAAGTTCCGCAGGAAGTGGCCTCCAAAAAAATATAATAATTAGTGGTTTAAACATCTGTCTCTCACCACAGAAAAATGTAAGCTCCATGAGAGCAGGAACCTTATCTATTTTGTTCCCCGCTGGATCCCAGCGTCACGAACAGAGCATGGCAGGGAGTGGGGGACTCACTGAAGACTTGCCAATGATGAAGCACGCAGTCAACCGCCCAGTCGGGTCGTCACCTGCTCTCCTAGAACGGCTCCACTCCCAGTCCGTGAGGCGCCCCCATGCCGCCCCCCATAGCCAATTTTCACTGCTTTAAAGAAACTTCAGTGGTACACCCCAGCGCAGACCCCGGTCTGAGCCCCCACCCCAACGGCCCCTCGCGACAGCGGCGTGCTCAACGCCCCAGTCCCCTGCCCCGCCCGCCACACCTCTCGCGCGTTCTCCTGGCCCACGAGCCCCGAGGCCGCTTGCTTGGCCAGGCCGCTTTCGTCCAGCCCCAGCCCCTTCACGTGGCTGTGAGAGGCGATGCGCTGCGTCTTCGTGGTGCTCTTCACTTCTTCAATCTTCATCTTGCAGACGTCCGGAATCAAGACCTGAATGCAAAACTAAAAGCGAGTTGCCCACACCCGGCGCCTGGGTTACCATGCGGCCGTTACTAGGGCGGTTTCTCAGGGCCCGCCTTAGTCGGTGATCCATTGGCGGAGGCGGAAACGCCTCTGCTCTCCATTGGCTCCTGACTGCGCCCATCGCGGCGGCTGCCCACCCACTTCCGGCTGTGTAGCTGGGTTAGCATCCCCCGCAGCCCAGGCTTCCTGCCCTGTCTCGGGGGCTGTAACACAGCGCGTATGCACTCGGAGTTTGATCTGGGACTGAACCCTGCACTGAGGTGTGACTCTCTTAACCGTGCTATCCTATGCATTTCGCATTGGACCGTCATATCCTTCAGCGAAGCTCAAGTTATTACCTCCGGTTTGGAGATGGAGAAACAGGTTTAGAGCTTAAGCTTTGACTTTTGCTTACTAAGCTTTTGGACTCTCAAGCCTTTGCGTCTCCCCAGGAAGGCCCAGCCTCAGCCAACCACTCCCACCCGTGCGCTGCTTAGTATCCTCCATGGAACTGTCTTCCTCTGCTTCTCACCGTTTCCACCCTCTCCTTTTATTTAAATTAAGTTGGCTGCAAATAACATTTTATGTTTCCAAAACTCTACAATCCAGTAAGGTAGATAAAGACGCAGGCTAAAAGAGGCCCAATAACCTACCCAAGAACGCACAGCAACTAACAGAATTGGAACTCCAGCTGAGGACTTAAGGCTTCACAGCCTGTGTAATCTTCATCCCATTCCACGACCTCAGATGAGACAATCAGCCAGCAAATATATCCTGTCAGGTTCCATAATGATGTTAACACTCCTGTACCACAGTGTACTCTCCCATCCATCCAGTCATTCAGCAAATATTTATTAGCATCTGCTTTGAGCCAGACACCTCAATGCACTAGGAATACAGAGATAAAATACAAAATCTCTAGCCTTCATAAACTTAGTCCTTAGTTGGGAAATTTGTAACATAAGATGTGCAAGAACAGGTATACTCCACCTGGTGTGCAAGCCCAGAGCAAGTTCACCTGGAACAGCCTGGAATGCCAGGAAAGGCGTCATGAGGTTATAATGCCTGGGCCAAGTCCTGACTAATGGATAAGACTTCAGAAGCAGATGACATGTCACCCTTTTACAGATGAGTAAACTGGGGTCCAGAAAAAGGGAAAGACTTGCCCAGAGCCTAGGACATTAGGGTTGAGACAGATCTGATGTCAAATCCAGCTACAGTAGCTCCTGACTCATATCCCCTTATACTTCATTATAACTTTTGAATCTGGGTTTTTAATTATTTGCAAGATTATTGGGTCAATGTTTGTCTCTCCCACTAAACTACAAGCATTATGAGAGTGTAGACCACATTTGTGTTGTTCATCATTTTAACCCCAGTGCCTGGTACACAGCGTGGCTCACAATTAAGGCTTCTTATGAATTCAAATAAGATTCAAGACCCCCCACATACACACTTGAAGTCATGCAGTTTTGCTGCATGTATTTTTCACACTGGGTTTTATGGGACTTGGTAATGGTTTCTGTCAGTGAATGGAACATTTTGACATTTTCAGAGCCCAAAAGAGCAGAAACAAGACCTTGGAAGGCTGAGATTATTACTGATGACCTGTGATTCATCAACCCTAGGAATATCACCTCTAGGATACACAGAAGGTTGCTTAGCATCTCACTGATTTATTCCTGATCATGACTCTTGGTTAGGAGCAATTCCTTTCACCCTGTGGAGGGGGAAGCCTTTCTCCCAATTAGTAGTCAAAATGAGGTACTCTGTGGAACTAACTTCTTTGTGATTGTCCAGTTAGGAGAGAAGACCATTTTTACATTTATTATTTTAAGCCCCAAACTTTGGCACAGAGTAAAGAGAAAGATTTCCTACCAACCAAATATGGGGGTGGGAGATAAGGACCTTGGAGCTTGGAGAAATTCCTAGGAGCACTTGGTCCAGTGATTTTCAAACCATATTCCCTAGAGTTGTGGTATTCTTTCATGGCCAGTATGAGTGGGGAAGTGCAGGATACCTGTTCCATTCCCCTACATCCCCTTCCACCAGAGCTGTTCCATTTACTGCTAATGAATGATTCAAAAATCACTGATCTGGCTTAACCTTCTCAGTTTACAGGTGAGGCAGCCGAGGACCTAAAAGGGGATGGAAATTTTCCATCACAAATTGAGCAATTGCCTGACAGCCCCTGACCCCAGATCTGGTGTGCAAAGAAGTTAGACCTGGTTGCAAAGCCAGACAGTTCCTCTCATTTTGATGGAAGGCTGTGTGGTGGGCCAGTATCTGAGATACACAAGGTGAACGAAGGGCAGTTGAGGCCCATAGTAGTAGACATGAGTTATTTTACCAACCTAGCAATCATCCAAATTTTCTGGCTACCATACTCTAATTTTCTTTAGAGAACCATCCTTCCCCCACTTTTAATCCAAATTGTTTGGATGGGTTGACCCCACCCCCTAGCATTGTTTCAGAGATGGCCACAGAACCCTGGCCTATCAAAGTATCCCATCTGCCTGGACATGGAGATTGGTTTGGGAATGTGAGTGAACAGTCCAATGACAGTCCTGGCACTTTTACTGGAAATATCAGGAAAGAAAACTTGGGTCTTAGGATTCCAGGTCATCTTTGCCACTTCGCAGGAAGACTTCCTGAGAATGAAGCCAACACATAGGAAAGGAAAGCTGACAGAGATTCCTGATGAAATCCTTTACATTCCCAGATCCAGCCTTGCCCTACTTAAATGTAATATGGCACTCACATTGGGGCTTAAAATAATTTGAGTTAGGTTTCTATCTGTGGGTAATGAAAATCCATATCAGTGCGATGATACATATGCAAATAATTGTGTGGACTGCTACGTTCCAGAATTGTGCTGTCTGAAAACCCCAGAACTGCCAATTCTCTCACTCTTTTTACTCCCATGACCCTTGCTGTTTCACCTCCAATCTCTCCTCCTTTTTTCAGTCCAAGTTTGCTCATCTTAGCCACTTGGTTTCCAACACTTCTGCTCTGTCCTTGCATTGACTTTTTTCACACCTGACCTTTGAACCCACAAACCCAGATCAAGACTACCTCTGCCTTCTCCACTGCCTTATGAAGGCAACTGTGTATGGCAGCAGGCAATCATTCAGTGTCCCCATGGAGCCAGTACACTGCCATGGTCTCCAGCTTCAGTTGAGCACACAGAGTTGCCTGACTAATGATTAAATGTCATATTAGGATATTAATTCAGCTGCAGTAACAGAGAGGTACAAAATAATAGTGAACTAAACAAGATAGAAGTTACTTTTTCTCACATAAAGTCCAAGCACCTGGTGAGCTCTAGGATCATTAATCTGTCCTCCTCTGTCTCGTTACTCTGCCCCCCCCCACACACACACCTTCTATTGCATGATCCAAGATGGCTGCTCAAGTTCCCTCCCCCCCCACCACCACCAAAAAGCCTATGTTTAAACCAGCAAGAAGGAGAAAAGGGGGAAGGGAGGATATGCTCCTTCCCTTTAACCTTGACCTCAAGTTGCATCATCATTTCTACTCATATTCCAGTGGTCATACTTAATCAAATGGTTACAAATAGCTGCAAGGGAGGCTAAGAAATATAGTCTTTAGCTGAAAAGATATGTGTCCCCACTAAAAATTCTATTCCCATGTAAAAAAACGGAGAAGATAGATTGGAAACAACTCTTACTCTCAATCCTAAGCTTCAATCTGCCAGACACTGCTGGGTTCTTCTTGTGTCCTGACTCAAAGACACACATGACCTTCCTCCTAGTCAAGGTAACCCTACTAACTGGGTTCCAGATAACAATCTGGGCAATACCTCTCAGAGGCCTCACTCTACTCATTACCCTCCTTTTTCCTATAGTTACATCTATTCTCCCTGATCATTTCCCACAGGATATAAACATACTCAATCTTTCCCATCTTAAGACACAGGTCATATTCAATGATGAAAGACTGAAATTGTTTTCCCTAAGATCAGAAACAAGACAAGGACACCTGCTTTAGCCACTTCTATTCAACATACTATTGGAAGTT